TAGAAGTAAACTCATTCCACCAAGAATTAGTCTTCCAAATTGTAAAAATGTTTATATGTAGAAATTCTCAATTAGAGCAATTCCGGATGTTTGCGTTTTCTATGATATGGGATGTTGAGAGGTTGGCTGATATTTATTTCAATTCCTAGGAAAAAAATATAGGGAAGAAATTTAAAGTTTTCAGATCTTAACGGTAAACGAAAGCCATGAAAGTCGAGCGATGTTTAAAAGAACCTGCAAAGGTTTAAAATCACGTTGATAAAACATAAAAAGTTGAAATTATTTCCGAGAAGTAAAATATAAAGCAGACCAACAACTTTTGACCTATAAGAAAACAGCTGTTAACACTTGCACACGTATCCCCCTTAAAACGTTCGTCGGTCTCAAACGTTTCCGGTTGGTCGACACGGGAAGCAACACCGAAGACAAACAACTGAAAGATAAGACACTAAACAATTGTAAAGGATATTAATTTATCCAGCTCTTTTAATATACGTATAGGGAGGAGAGAGAGAGAAAGAGAAGTGAAAAGAGGAGGCAGTCGCATTGGACATACGAACACGCGCATGTGGAAAGAAGAATAAGAGAGAGAGAGAGAGGTATTTTGACATGATAACAGAACTACGTACCGAAGTGAGAATTATAAATGACAACGCATTAAAGTTAGCCACAACCTCTCTGTTTCCGCTTACATTTCTCTCCCGGATATTCTTGAAAGAGTTTCCAGAGATGCTAATATTCTAAGAGGATTTACGTGAAGGTAAACAACTGAAGATGATCCACGGAACGCCCATGACAATGAAGACAAAGGCAGATGCACAGACTTTTACCGATCATAGAAAACGTGATATTTCCCGGTGCATGAGGAGACCAGAGAAAACGGGAAATGAATGATTTTTATTCCTGTGACAGGGAGACTAAATCGCTGGCAGAGGGCGTTAAAATGTAAAGACAAAAGGGCGTGGTTACTGGATATGGTCATTAAAATTAGGCGTATCTTAAAATAGCGGTAAATTACCACTATTTTTTTTATTTGTTTGTAACTTGTTTTGGGCTTAATTGGAGATTATTCGAATGTCTAGGAATTTGCCGACAAATACCGGTTTTAGCTTCGTTTACCGTCAGAAGCATTTATCACGGAGGTGTCACACTTTTTGATGCAGGGATATATCAAAGCCACTTATTACACCAATCCAGGTATGAGTATAATCCATGTGAGCTATTACCTATTACGGGAGAACTGTCGTAAAATAGGGAGGGCAGATTTAGTTTGCGCTCGTACTCACTAAGGGTACGAGCACATGTGGTTCATTTTGATGACGTCACAAAAGTTACGGATGCTTTGTGAATATGGTCGATCATTTTGGTCTTTTCAATTTTCAAAAAGGACGGAAAATAATGATTCTAATGGTTATATTTTCATTGAACAATCATCAAAACAGACGCCATGACACCTCCTCGTGTTGCTACTGATCTAGACTTCCCCATAACTGTGCTTTTGGTGCACAATATGCAAATCAGATAATATAACGACGAATAGTTTGCGGTCACATCTTGGGCGAGCAATGAAGCTTCAAAATAAAAAAAAATAGATTTGACATAAATATCACGATTTCTGAGAGAGATTAAACAAATCTAATAAACAGTTGTTTAAACCATGATAAAGCATACCATACATGAAGACAAAATTTGATTAATCCTAAAACCTAAAAAAAAAAGGATTATAACTGATACTCCTCTAAGACAAAAAGCGACTTATAAATCAAGTAGAACATGGAGAAAGACTGGAACCGCTAATCTGTCCTGAACCGTGTACAACTGTCTTCCAGTGACTGATGTGTCCTGAACCACACTGTACAACTGTCTTCAGTGACTGTGTTCCTTCACTAGTGACTGATGTGTCCTGAACCACAACTGTCTTCCAGTGACTGATGTGTCTGTGTCTTCCAGTGAGTCTGTCTGACATCCCCGCTCCAGTGTCTGAAAAAAAGTGTCCTCTTGAAGAAAAAGAAATGTTTGCGCCGCTGTCGACTCTTCCCGACCGGACTCCATCCCATGACGGATCCTGGGCTTAATTAACACAGAGAGAAGTTTGTTTGTTTATGCATGCACACTCATATATATATGTATATATATATCTATATCTATCTATCTATCTATCTATCTATCTATCTATCTATCTATCTATCTATCTATCTATCTATCTATCTATCTATCTATCTATCTATCTATCTACCTATCTATCTATCTATCTATCTATCTTCTATCTATCTATCTATCTATATCTATCTATCATCTATCTATCTATATATCTATCTATCTATCTATCTATCTACCTATCTATCTATCTATCTATCTATCTATCTATCTATCTATCTATCTATATATATATATATATATATATGCACATATACACATACACACACATACATACATGCACACACACACACACACACACACACACACACACAAATATATTATATATATATATATATATATATATATATATATATATATATATATATATTATATATATATATATATATATATAGAATACACACACATTTCTACCTCTTACTCCATCTCTTTAGTAACTGTAAAGGAAATCATTTCAGCGTAAGCATTTCCTGAACCTTTTCCCAACAGTACGGGAGAGAGAGAGAGAGAGAGAGAGAGAGAGAAGAGAGAGAGAGAGAGAGAGAGAGAGAGAGAGAGAGAGAGAGAGAGAGAGAGAGAGAAAGAAGAGAGAGAGAGAGAGAGAGAGAGAGAGAAGAGAGAGAGAGAGAGAGAGAGAGAGAGAGAGGAGAGAGAAGAGAGACAGACAGACAGAGAGATGGGGCGTAACGAGCGAGACGAGAGAGAACAGACGAGAGAAGAAAGAGAGAGGAGAAGGAGAAAGAGAGAAAGAGAGAGAGAGAGAGAGAGAGAGAAGACAGACAGACAGACAGACAGACATGGCGAGAGACATGAAGACATACGCACAGATCTTCCCTTCCCACAATCCAAAAAAAAAAAAAGAAAAAAAAAAAAAATCCCACGTCCCTGAAGAGAAAAACACGAACCGTAAAGAGAAACTGAAATGGCTACGGAACCAGACGGAACTCTCCTAAGCCGGAAATAAAAAGCAAAAATTAGGTCCAAGCCCTGGACCCAAGCCCTAAGAGTTACAAGGTGAGCAGCAGAGCCAAGGCCTCCCTCGTGCACGGCCGCGCGGAGCCATTGCTGACGGAGGCGCGCGGCAGGAGGTGAGTCCCGGCGCGAGCATCCTGTACAGAGGCATATGTATATCTATCTATCTATTATATATATATATATATATATATATATATATATATATATATATATATATTATATATATATGTGTGTGTGTGTGTGTGGTGTGTGGTGTGTGTGTGTGTGTGTGGTGTGTGTGTGTGTGTTGTGTGATATGTATAACACATACACATATACATATATATATACATATATATATGTGTGTGTGTGTGTGTGTGTGTGTGTGTGTGTGTGTGTGTGTGTGTGTGTGTGTGTGTGTTTGTATACATTTATGCATTTCTGTGAATCCCCGAAGCTGTCATCTGGAAGTGAAGTGAAACGAAACAAATCCGACGAGAGTTTTATGAAACACAAACTACTAAATATACATAAGTGATGCAAACGACATGTGAATCATGATTATTGTGAGAAACGGAAACAGTCTCCCAAAAAAGAAAAAAATATATCTGAAAGTATTTAAACAAAGAACAGGAAAAGAAGGCGGGGAAGGGAGGGTAAAGATAAAATATAAATAAGTGTCAGTGTGTGTTTGTTAGTGATTAAGAAATGCAAGTCAACACGATAAAAAAGGAAGCAGGTAAATATACGTGGATAAATACACCGTAAAAGGAAAAAGAGGAAAATGAATATTTTTCTATCATCACGTTGTTATTTAAAAATATATTTCCTTCTTTTATCTGTGCCTTTATATATTTTCAAGACAAGTGAGGTAAAAGTGTCATGCGTTTATCTATAAATATGGATACATACATCTTTATGTATCCATTTGTTACGTTTTATCTAAGTCTCTTTTAAGGAATATTAGAATCGAGATGGAATATTCTTTAACAAAATCGAAACACAGTCTACCGATTTTAAAACGCTATATCTCAGGAACTAAATAATATATAAAAAAAATCCGCAACAATTGTTTAGAAGACTATTGTGTACGACAAAAAATAAAAGTAAAGTTCCAGAAACAAGTTTTACTAGTGTATAAGAAACAAATGTAATAAAAAAAGAGTTTACGTGACGCGGAGTGACCTTGGAGTAGGATGAAACTGTAGCATCATTTTGGCGGGAAAATATTTCTTTTCCAGTACTATTTTTTTTTCGTCATTACAGTTTTCAGTTTCATCGACCGGGGAGGAAGGAAAGAGAAGAAGAGGAGAGGAGAGGAGAGAGAGAGAGAGAGAGAGAGAGAGAGAGAGAGAGAGAGAGAGAGAGAGAGAGAGAGAGAGAGAAGAGAGAGAGAGAGAGAGAGAGAGAGAGAGAGAGAGATGAGAGAAAGAGAGATACAGACAGACAGAGAGACAGACAGAGCAGAGAGACAGACAGAGAGAGAGAGGAGAGAGAGAGAGAGAGAGAGAGAGAGAGAGAGAGAGAGAGAGAGAGAGAGAGAGAGAGAGAGAGAGAGAGGAGAGAAGAGAGAGGAGAGACAGAGACTGAGAGAGAGAGAAAAAGAAAGAGAGAAAGAGACGGACAGAATAAAGAGAGAAGAAAGAGCATGACACCCACATGACCTCCATCAAGCTCACAGACCAAGCCACGTGGAACCCATGCTGTCCGAGTCGCCCTAAAATTAGCCGGGACATCCGCCCGCTTGGGTCAAGGCCGCCCGATGTAAGGACAGGTCGCCGCGTGAGTCACAGAAGGGAGAGCGACCGTTGCCGTGACCTTGGATGCACCTCCCGCCCACCACTCGGCTTGTCGTGTGTTCATTTGACTTATGTTATGTTCTACAGAAG